CCATAAATTATTTGACTCAAGTAAATAAGAAGAAGCATGAACTTTATTGATATCAATAGCTATTACATTCAACTTGAAAAAACCCTCAGTTAGATAACCTTTTCCTACATATACATCATTCTTACTTACTACAACTTTTTCAGAAACATACACACACTTAAATCTATTCTTGATACGAAGTCCAGCAGAGACCAAGTTCTTGCGAATTTCAGGAACATGGAGAACATTATTTAGAGTCGCAACTTTGCCTGAAGTCATTTCAAAGATATCTTTCCAACTCCTTCAATTTTTGCAGTTGCGGAGTTTCCCATAAAGATAGTCTCGTCGGGCCCTTCGGGAACATAAGAGGCAAATAACTCTTTGTTAGCACAAACATGGAGAGTGGCTCCAGAATCAATCTACCACTCCTTGGGATTTCCTACAAAGCTGCATTCATATAGCATGGCACATAAGTCCTCCATTTCATCATTCTTTTCAACCATGTTTGCTTGACTCTTCTTCTTGTCCTTCTTCGGTGCACTGCAGTCCACAGATTTATGTCCAACCTTTCCACAGTTGTGGCAATTATCTTTGAACTTCTTCTTGCTCGGGTAATTCTTTGGACCAACGTCTTTTTTCTCTTTGTGTTACTTGTAGACGCTTCCTCAATAATATTTGCTCCCATTATTGTTGAGTTACCACGAGACTTCTTCTCAGCAGCCCTGTTGTCCTCTTTAATTCGTAGACGAACAATAAGGTCTTCAAGCGTCATCTCCTTGCGCTTATGTTTTAAGTAATTCTTAAAGTCCTTCCACAGCGGAGGCAGCCTTTCAATAAATGCCGCAACTTTAAACCCTTCATTTATGACCATACCTTCAATCATAAATTTATAATTAGTAAAACAATCAATATCTTGAACAAAAATATTGACTCAATTTATACCTTCAGCAAGGAGGTCATGAACAATCACTTGCAATTCTTGGACTTGCGTTATGACAGATTTTCCGTCAACCATTTTGAAATCCAGAAATTTGGCGGCCACAAACTTCTTAAGTCTTGTACTTCTTTTCAAGAGCACCCCACAACTCTCGTGATATTTTCATGATGCTCTAAACATTGTACAAGCCGTCTTCCAAGCAACTTGAAATATAATTTTTGCATAAGAAGTCAGAATGATTCCATGCCTCCATGACCACAAATCGCTCATTTTCAGGAGTTTCTTCTCCCAGAACTGGAACGTCTTCGCTGATAAAGCGCTGTAAACTGAGTGTGGTCAGGTAGAAGAACATTTTCTGCTGCAACACTTAAAGTCCACGCCGAAAAACTTTCCGTGCTCTTCTGCCGGTACCATCTCCAGTACAGGAGTTATGCGACTTGAAGACACAGTAGCCATTGCAACAGTAGTCCCAACAGAACCATTCTATTTTTCCGTACTCGTTGTCTTTTTTCTATAAAAGAAATTGACACAACCAGAATTAGTAAGTCAGTGAAGTTTTTATATCTTCAAACCGAATACAAACAACCGAGTAGAAAATCACAAGGATTTTAATCTCGGATTGAGTAGAAAGTCAGAAAGACTTTAATCTCAAACTGGAGTAGAAAATTCAAAGATTTTAATCTCCACAATGGGAGTAGAAAATCGCTAGAATTTTACTCTCCCAAAGTAGAAAGTAAGATGAACATAGAATATAAAAATTAAATTCCTTAAGCTTGTTATAAACCTGTGTTCAAATATAATTTCTACAAACAATAAAACAAACAGAAGCAGAAACAAAATAGAAACAAAAATAAATAAAAGTTCCGAGCCCAATAGAAAACTGTGTAATTCTTTAAGGAATTTAATCCCCTCACTGTTGCTTAAGGTTATTGGATTAATCCCTCCCAGGATATAACGGAACAACTATTCTATAATACCGGCAATGGAAATTATAGAACTTCGCCAAACTCAACAAACGGCAGTAAACCACACTTATGCTTACATTTTTGGTAGAAGTACAATTTGAGGTACCATTTTAGCAAAAGTCTGGTTAGAAAAGAAATTGTATAACGGAAAACGGCAAATAAATTTGGTTCAAAAATTTATCAGCCGAGCCGAGCGACGACGCCGCGTGACACCACTTCTTCTTAACTCTAGAGCTAGAAGATGTGTTTCTCTATATAAGCAAAAAGATTTTCTTTCCTTTTTCCGATGATGGACAAAGTGCATTAGTAAAGGAAATCAGTAGGGAACAGAGTATACCAATCACAGGGAATCACAGATTCCCTTAGAAGGTAACAATGACCAAAGGAAAGTATCACAACTGAACGGAGCAAACATAACACATACAAGAATAGGATAAAAGAATCACATAAATCCGGGATTCAAAGTAAGATATGGTATGATGAGAGGAAATGACCACAAATTTTCTGGGAATAAACATATAATAGGCAGGAGTAATCGAAGTCAAAAACCTAACAAGCAAACATAGGGTAAAATTCACAGAATCACAGAATGTTCAGGAGAAACATACAGATTAACTGAATATATTATCAAAAGCAAACTCAGAAGCCCGGGATTAGAACTAGGAAATTTAGGGTTTTCAACATAATGAATCGGATAAAAGGAAAAACTTAAATAAGCCATTTAAACATAGTAAAAATCATAGAATAATACTAAAAATCAGAGGAAAAGTCGTTTTGAAAAGGGGTTAAGAAACCCTAGTTTTGAAGATGGAGAGTCGTTTAGGAAAACGGAAATCTTAAGGAAACAGCAAAATANCTAGTAGTTAGGGTTCCATAAAGACAACCCAGAGAGAAAGAGAACTAGCCTAGAAACAACAGGTTCTAACCGAAGATGGTAGAATCTTACTCGGACGGCCATGGACCGCCTGAGAATGACATAAAAACTATGGGAGGTGAGTGAACCGCCTTGTGGTTACTTTGAGGACCTCAAGGCAGCAAAAATCGGCATAGGAAGAGAGCCATGGGGCTGGGGATGGTGGTGAGACCACCATGGTTACCGGCAAGGCGACGACCGGTGAGAGGAGCTAGGTTTAGCAGAGCGAGTCTTGAGAGAGATGAGAGATGTAACGGCGGAGAGAGTGAGAGCAAATGAGAGGATAGGAATGAGGGTTTGGGGAGTAATCTATTAGGCTAATTATGGAAATGGGGGATCTGGACCGTTGATTAGAATTGATCAACGGTCCAGATTGGATCAGGGATTGGGTCGGGTAGTTTGGTGGATTGGTCTTGGGGTTTGGGCTCTTTTAATTAGGTTTGGGGTTGGTTCAAGTTAGGCTAGAATTGAAATGAAATTGGCTATTTGTTAAATACCCAATTAAATTAATTAAAATAATTTGTAAAAAAACTAATAATCACAACAATGAATTTCATGCGTGGAAAATAATTTTAATGATTATTTAGTATTTTAAAAATACAAATGACTAAGTCTTGGTAAAAATAGTACAAGATTATATGCTTGGGCTATAATTGCAATTGTAGCCAAACGATGCCAATTTGGCCAATTATGAAATAATTTGGAAACTTTTCGTTTCCCTCCATTTCCCATTCACACCTTTTATCTAATTAGATAAAAATCCAACATTTGCTTTATTCAAAGGACTTGAATTTGTCTTTACTAAAACTCTGTTTCCACTCATGAAACAAATTCAAAACTATTGATTGAAAATATGTAGATTCAATAAAATTGGAAGAAGCTATAAAAAAAATCATGATGTTTTCGAAAAATCAGCTATACATTTTATTTGTACTTGTCCAAAATATATCTTTCATCCTGAGTAGTTGTAACATATATAGCCAAAGGAAACTCCCAACCACGATGGGAAATAAAATACTATATGGAAAAGTAAGATGTATGCACAATAATAATTGGATTAACAACACGAATGCACAATTTACCAGTCAAAAAGATTAGAAAAAGAAGGACACGCTTTTACTAGCTACCAACTGGCCCGTAAATAGACGAAATTAATATCCTAAAAAAATATTGAAAGTAAAATCTGCTGCATAAATATTAAGCACTTCTTGTTATTCTTTGGTCCAATTTATTTAGATGAAAAATCGCTACTTTTCAAAAATTATTCCAGAGGGTCAAAATATGTTTACCTATTTTTAGCTTTCACGTACCACAAAAAAGAGAGAACATTGTTTACATCGCGGAGCCTTTAGAATGGTATTAGAGACACATCAATTACATCGACTATTAGGTTAGTCATATAATTTAAGTGTGTAATGGATTTTTTATTTTACTTTTTGGACAATTTCGTTATAAATTAACTATTTTCTCAATATTTGGTGAATTTCTTGTATTGTGATAGTATTTTGTTTCACTAACTAATAATGACTACATTTCAGCTGTAAATTGCTCAGAGATGACATCTTGATATTTCTGAGCAAACTTATCCAGCTTATGAATCAATTGTTTACTTTTATGCACATCCTTGGAATTTCATGTCTTGCTCCAGTTCCAAAAGCTTCTTTTCTTATAATAACAGTACTGTCTAGGCCGCTTGCGCACACCTCTACTATTCCTCCAGGTACTTGCTGCCTCAGTTACAGGTACCGGGATAACTTTGCCCGACAAGGCTTAAGTAGATGAGTACTCACACTTGCAGTAACTTGAGCTATGGGAAAGAGGAAGTCAAAATCAAAGCCACCTCCAAAGAAGAGGATGGACAAACTTGATACTATTTTCAGCTGTCCTTTCTGTAGTCATGGCACCAACGTTATGGCGTTTAAGTTATATGAATTTGATCCAATTATGTTCCATAGAATAATCAGCATTTACCTTAGATTGACATCTCTTGTTGATAGAAGAGATGTGATTTCCATTTCTAAGGATCAAAACTTATTAAAACAAATCGAGTTAATCCAAAAAAACAGAACCAAATACACACTCATTCATACTCTATGGTTAGTAAGAGATGTATATTAAAGACAATATGAGATAATCCAGACCCCTTCAAATTCTGGATCTGTTTTTTTTTTTTAAAATATCATCTATGAAGAAAAGAGTCTAGAAAGATCGAATTAAATAGATCTATTTGCAGTAAATGGTGTTCCATGATATTACAGAAGTCTCTTAGTAGTACGAAAAATGAAATAACATATGAAATAGAAACAAGAGAGTAATAGAGAAGACAAAGAGCACAACTAAAGCTCGAAGTAACAAAAGCAAGCAACCTAATAAACTCACTAATCAAAAGGAAATATCATATCCTCCCCTATGAGGATTTTTATATAGTTTAGATATTGATACTTCAAGCAGAAACAAACCTCTTCTAGAAATGCAGGGAAAGATCGTGTACATACGATCCAATGTGATCTGACCCATTCTCAGAGCTCAATGCACGATGCTGCCCATTAATACTCCAAGCAAAAATTAAAGTAGAGTTTGTAGCTTTTCAACAAAAGCATCAATATAAGAATCCTCAAGCCCTTTGCTTAATAAAAACTCCCTCCACTTTGCGCGATTAGCTCTTATTTCCCTTCCCTTTTCATTATCACCATTCATTACCATTTTTATTGCCTTACAAACACTTTCTCTAGTAAACAATCCATTCTCTTCATCTCTCTCAACTTCCACTCCAACTCTCAAATCTCCACCAAACAATCTTGCATTAATAAATTGATCACCAAAATTTGGGACTAAAACCAATTCACACTCAGTAATCATAGCCTCAGATAAAGAATTTCCACCACAATGAGTAACAAAACATCCCACAGAAGGATATGATAAAATCAGTTGTTGCTCTGCCCAACCTGAATGAACAATCCCTTTTCCTTCTATTCTCTCTTTAAAACCCTCTGGTAATGCATCTTCAATTGTCTCGGCTTCGAAAGGCGGTTTTAAAGCAGCAAAAAATGGAAGACCAGTAAGTTCAAGACCTAAAACAAGTTCTTGGAATTGTTCTTTCTTGAGCTTGCATTCACTACCAAATGCACAAAAAATCACTGTCTTTTCTTGGAAATTTTCAAGCCACTTAGACCATTTCTCCTCTAAATTTGAACTATCTATTTTTTCTGGAAATATTGGTCCGGCTAAAACAACCGGTTTCTTGAACTTATTCTCAACAAATTCACAATATGGTCCTTCAATTTCCTTAGTAGTTTTGAATGCAATGACATCCCCATCTTGAAAAGCCAAAAGTAAACGCCGTGTGAACGACACTGAGCCGGAGCCTGAGCCGGAACCACTAGATTCTTTCCCTATCGAATGTAGAGCTGCGATTAAACGAGCTTCATATTTGTGAAGTTTGATAGATGAATTAAGAGGAAAACCAAGTGGAGGTTCTATCATTTCATCCTCTGGAATTAGTTTTTCGCCACGCATGAGATAACCGACAGATGAAGGAGTAATGGAACAGTAATGTATTGACTTCACTCCATATTTTCTAGCAACTAATGGAACCCAATATGCAAAATCATAAAGAATGAAATGGGGTTTGAGTTCTTGAATTAAAGACTCAATCTTTTGTTGTGTAAGATCCAATGCTTGCCAGAGGAGATTTTGCTTGAAAATAGGAATGTCTGAAGTTGTTTCAGCTCCGATAGGGAGACCTTCAACATGTGGAACTGTGATTGATATGAAGTTTATGAGTTGAGGGTAAAGATTGAATTTTTCCAATTTAGAAAGTGTATTGGTAGGATGAATAAAGAAAATTGTATGGCCTCTGTCTGCTAATTTGTTGGAGAGATGAAGAAATGAAGTAAGATGGCCCATTGCATACCATGGATACATAATAAAAGTTAGCTTCTTGTCCTCCATTTTATCTTCTTTAATTTGATCTGCATGCAAATCAACAATGTGTATCAAAGGTAGAACTTCTTGTTAGTACTTGTTCAAAACAGTAAAGAAAACGGAATAATATAATCAAAATAACATAAAACGTAGTACATTAATTCGAGCCCACATAATTCGTTGCGTGTACTTCAAGAAATTTAACTCCAAACTTCGGACTCCAAGACTGGAATAAATCACAGACTGACTCTATATTTTGTTTGAGAAATAATGCAAAAGGGTTGAGACTTGAGAAAATTTTATGTTGAAAATGAGGCAAGGCCTTTCTCCATATATAGCCAACGAATGGGTGAGCCGAAGTTAAAATGGTCAGTTATTGTGGACCGGAGAGTATAATCTAGCATAAGAGTTCATGGTTCATTCTAATATTCTATGATGAATCTGCACACAACAAATGCAATGATTAATTTGATGATTAACGGTAAGAATGGATTCTCTTTGGTAAATTATGTAACTAATTTATTAAAAATACAAGGTACATTACAAGAATACAAAAGGTAGAATTAAGGTACAAATTCCATAGGTTTGCTTTTCCCTTCATTCAAAATTTCAATTGATTAGTCATTTGATAATATGTCAAGCTTAATATGCAAAGGTTAAATTGAAGTACGAATAAGTATTTAGTTGTCAAGATACCCACATAAAATTTATTTAGCAACTAGATGGAGAATCATGATATGCTAAGGGAAAGAACTACTAACAAATACTATATTAAACTTTAGCTTTCTATTAGGGGAAAGGATTTAAAAGTAAAGCACATAGACTAAAAAAAAAAAGAAAAAGAACAGCCTTGTGATTATTATATGAAAATGTAGACACAGTAATACCATTAAAATTTCAATATGAACAAATACTCTAATTAGAATATCCTCATATTGTCACTGTTTTATCAAAAAAGTGTTAAACCTTTTCCTAAAATGAATTACTAAGAATATAGGGGGTGAATCCTAGTTATGTATAATAACTACTAGATCTGAAGACTTAATGCAATAACGATGTAGGATCTTGTTCGATAATATTGAATACCGACTAAGAGTACTCAATGATTATCAATCAATGCAATAAAGGAAACCTGCAGTGAATGTAGATAATAGCAATAAATGTAATAAGAAGGAACTTCTCACCCAAATAGTAGATGACTTGTATGATTCTCCTTCCTGACAACAACGTGTGAGACCAATATAGAATGAATGTGGACAAATGATCCTTGGATCTTGTGAGTAAAAGATATATGTTGAATAATAGAATCAGTGGACAAGACAAGATTTGTATATTCTCTGTAGTCAACCTTTACAACATGTTCTTATCCCAAAAGTGAAGATCCCCTTTTTGTTCTTTATTATCTCCTCCTAATTATAGGGGATATTCCTAAGAAACCCTAAAAAGTACAGCAGAAGGAATATCCAATGGAATATTCCTTCTTTCTATTCTAAACTAATTCTATCATTGTTTCCGTACAATTTTACTTGACCTCGGCACTAATCCTTCTTAAGATGACTCCTCGCCATTGTACCGTGGTCGGCTTAATCCTCGACCATGTTCATTTGCAGTTATTAAGTCGTCCAAATTTTGACCAATACAGTCACTGAGAAAGAGATTAATCACTCATTTTAACAAGGGCTAAGGACTTACTAATTTAATTTACCGTCAAACTAGTGTGATGAAATGTTTGTAATCCCTTCGTTTTTAACTAAAAGTTTAGAGTCTGACCATTGAAAATTGAAAAACTCCTTATAAAATATGTATTTCTTTAATGAATCATATGCAACACGAATCTGAATTAATCGTTTTCTTTAAAAGGTCACTAAAATCTAGAAAATATGAAAGTAGAAGGCTAAAGAAAGGTTTTCTGATGCATGATTAATCAATGTATCAGGAAAAAATGATCAAAAGGATTTAGTCAAGATGGACCTTTTCCAGATCCTCTAAATAAGACTCTCAATCTATTATTCAGAGAAAGGTTAGTGTTAATTACTTTCTCCCTCCGTATTTATTTTTATAGTCTTTGAGAAATTATCGCGGGGAAATGAAAAAGTTAAACATTGAGATTCAAGGGGCAATAAATTAGGAGGAAATGCGTAGCTCAAGCTATTATGAGCTTATTCCTTAGGTTTTAATTAAGCTAGTCTTTGGTACCAGCTAAATTATATAAATATTATTAAATAATATATTTGAGTTATAAATGAATTTTTTTTTTAAAAAAAAAATTCTGAAAATAATGAACATTAATCTAACTTAGCTAGCTCAATCAAGAACCATGACAATTATGCGATCATAATATCATGTCATTAATGGTAAAATCCAAATATTATAGTTAAAGTATTTTTTTAATTATAAAGGTTTCTCGAAATTTATTGGAGAAAAATACGCGAAAGGAAAACTTCAAAGATCAAGATTCATGCAACAAATTAAAGTAGAGAAGGTAGGAGGAAATACGTGGTTTGCTATGAGATTATTTCTGAGGTTTTAATTGAATCGGTAGAAAAATAACTCAAGTTGTTTAAATATGGATTCAAATTGTATACAATTAAAGCGTCACTAATCTTTTATATCAATTATTGTAAGTTACTTATCATTTATTCTCAATTACTGATTAAAATAAAATTATCTATGATTACCTTTTAAATAATTGGATTGTGTAATATTTTTCACAATTTTCGTGCATAGAGTTAAACTTATTAAATATTTTGGTAGAATAAAGGAAGTGGGTGTGAGCTTATTTCTAAACTTTTAATTATGATATTAAATATATCAATAACAATTTGTGGTTATAAGATCATACCATCAAGTTTGCAAAAGAAAAAAAAAAAAAAAAAGAAGAAGAAGAAGAAGAAAAAAGTCATCACAGACGGCAAAAGAATAAATTTTCGCAGCTAATGAATAAATGGATACTCTTAGATGAACTTAGAGATCAGGTAGCCATTCATTATTTAGTAGGTATCATCAAACTTTAATTCTCTTCCTTTAATGGATCCAGATGAAAAGTGGCGTAGGTGTCGATCAAACACTCGTCATCGAAAAATTATATTGTGTATATAGGTCTAAAATTATTTTTTATATGAGTAGTTTAAATTTTGAACCCCTTCATGAAATTCTTAACTTCGCCACTAGAGACGAAGGCATTAATTATACAGATGAACAGTAAAAGTCTAAAACAGAGTACTTTTGCGGCGTTTGTTTTAATTTTTCAATTATGTTTGGGGAAAAAATCATTTTACAAAAGCATGTGATCTTTTTTTAAAAGGTTTTCAAACTCATTCTTTCACATATTGCAAAAACTCAAAATTTTAGAATTTCTGAAAAAAGAAAATTTTGCAAAACAACTCAATCAAAGATACTAATTTTGTTACACAAAATGAAAAAGGAAAATTAGCGTTAGAAATTTTAATTGCTATGGTTACTCGTAGCTTAATTTGAAAAGATTTTTTTTCCGTAAAACAAAGACTTCATATTACTGCATCAACGAACAACAAAGTTCAAATGTACTCTTTGCATCTTGGACAACCCAAGTTGGGAAAAACTTCTCCCAGGAGATGTCCTTCAACACAGAAATAGAAAATTTAGCTAAACTATGAGCTACTTTGTTTAACTTCCTTGGAATATAAAGGAACTCCACGTGATCAAACATGCTTGATAGCTCCCAAATGTCTTCACACAACACTTCTATCTCCCATAAAGTTGCCACCTATTTTTGGATCATATCAAGAACATTCTTAGCATCAGATAAGATCTTCACACTTTTCCATCCAAGAATAATAGCACATTCAAGTGCCTTTCTTATGGCAATCGCTTCAGCAGTCATGCCCAACATACTGAATTGGGGATCCATGGGCATGAAGCAGTTTTCCAAGGCTATTCAAAGCCGCGACACCAATACTCGCATGTCTATCATCACACCGTAATCCTGCATCTGTAAATAATAAAATATCATCTTGAAAATTTGTTAGTTTAGGCACATGCTCATTTTAAGTTGAATATCGTGCAGCGAGGCAACTAGTTAATAGATCTTTATATTCTTCATACTCAAAAAGAGCTTTAGAAACAATATCAGTTGGCTCTAACATTTGCTGATTAAAGCACCAAGCATTCCTACCTTTCCAGATTTGCCACATAATATAAACACTCAAATATAATAATTCTGTAGATTCAGGAAAATGCTTAGCATTTAAGAACAAGTTGTACCACCAAAAAGAAAAGTCAGTTATGTTTTCAATATCAGACCAATTAATAGGACTTTGTTTCCATACAAGCTGAGACCGGGGACATCTAAATAGCATATGTTGTGTATCTTCACTTTCAAGACCACAAATCTTATACGTTTTATCCAGGTTCTGTAATCTTTTAGCTAAGGTACAATTAACGGGCAAAGAGTTAATCACACACTTTCTTAGAAAATATTTAAGTTTATTTTTAATTTCTAAGTTCCACAAAGAATCCTAGAAGCTTTTAGGAAAAGAATGACAACTCGCCTGGGCTTCCGAATTCCTACTAGTCATACCTGCCAAGCCCTTTGCTAAATAGTAACCTGACTTGACTTCATAGTTTCCAAATTTTGAATGATGCCATAGTAATATCACACGCACACGTAGATTCACTTAAAATCAATTCAAAATTATTTTACTTGTCTCTGATGAGTTGTATCTCCTAGTTGAAGTTGCGACCTTTAATATATTATAATATATCAAAGACCAGGAGCGGAGCCACAATGTTGATTGCGGGTTCGGCCAAAATCAGTAGCTTTTGTTCAAACTCTATATTTGTATTAAGAAATCCAATGAATATGTACAAATTATTAATTTAGAATCAAGTAACTTAAAAGGATTATAATCACGAACCCATAAGGTTCAAATCCTAACTCGGTTTTTATTAAAGACCATATACTTTTATTATTTCTATTTGACGTAAATAGTAAAGATCAGTGACGAATCCAAGGTTTATAGGTTGTGGGTAGTTCACTGATTTTAGTGTAAATTCTAAATGGTCAAACACGATTCTAGTGGGTGCTCATGGTCAATTATTGCATTTTTAGATATTATCTATATCAAAGGCGTATTTGTAACGACCCGACGGGTCGTTTTGAGCATTTACACTCTGCGCGGTTATTTGAAGGCATGAGTAGCCCTATATGATGTATTATGACTTATGTTAATCATCGGTTTTGGTTTTCAGGTTATTCGGAATTGATTTAGAAGAATGATTCTGCTTCAAATTGGAAAGGTTTGACCAAGTTTGACTTTTTAGTAATTGACCTCAGATTGGATTTATGATGGTTCCGTTAGCTCTGTTGGGTGATTTTGGACTTAGGAGCATGTCCGTATTATGATTTGAAGGTCCGTAGTAGAATTTGGCTTGAAATGGCGAAAGTTGGAATGTTGGAAAGTTTGATCGGGAGTGGAATTTTTGATATCGGAGTCGGATTCCGATTCTGGAAGTTGGAGAAGGTCCGTAATGTCAAATGTGATTTGTGTGCAAAATTTGAGGTCAATCGGACGTGATCTGATAGGTTTCGGCATCGGTTGTGGAAGTTTGAAGTTTGATGTTCATTGACTTTTGAATCGAGGTGTGATTCATTGTTTCGATATTGTTATGTGTGTTTTGGGGCCTCAAATAGATCCGTGTTACGTTCTGGGGCTTGTTGGTATGTTTGGACGTGGTCCTGAGAGGCTCGGGCGTGCTTCGGACGAGGTTCAGACAATTGTTCATCATGTTTTCATTGCTAAGGAATTGTTGCTTCTGGTGTTCCGCACCTGCGAGTGGTATTGCGCAGGTGCGATGGCCGCAGATGCGAGCCAAGCATCGCAGATTCGAGATTCCATTGAGGAGTGTAGGTCCACAGGTGCGGAGGTATTTGCACAGAAGCGCGATTACAGATGCGGTCATGGCCATCGCAGAAGCGGCCTGTCTCGCAAATGATAGACCTTTTCTGCAAAAGCGAAGGTCGCAAATGCGGCCCCTTATCCGCAGATGCAAAAGTGCTGGGAAGATTTATATAAATCGAGGTTTTGGTTCTTTCTTCATTTTTTTGAGATGCGGGACTCGGAATGATGCAATTTTTGGAGCAAATTTCATCACAACGATTAGGGTAAGTGTTCTCTACTCAGTTTTGATTATATTTCATAAATCCATGTTCATTTTAGCAATTGCTTGATGAATTTAAAGAGGAAATTGGGGGTTTTGCCTAAAGTTTCATAATAGGAAATTTTGAGTTTTGAACACCGATTTGGAGTCGGATTTGAGTGAAACTAGTATGGTTGGACTCGTAATTGAATGGGTTGCTGGATTTTGTGAGTTTTATCGAGTTTTGAGGCGTGGGACCAGGTGTGATTTTTGGCCGAATTTGGGATTTGATGTAGGATTCGATCTTTATCATTTGTAATTGTTTCCTTGTACTTTATCTGATGTATTTGAGTTGTTTTTGGCTATTTTTGAGCCGTTCGAAGGTCGCTACGCGCGTAATGGCATTCTTGGAGCATCATTTGGCTTGCTCGGTATTTGAAATTGGCTTGTTTGAGATAAGTAACTCTTTTTAAACATAGTGCTGGGGGTATAAACCCTGAATTATGTGTGATACGATTGATGTTAAG